TTTGGTGCTTTATAGAGTTACGACCAAAGTGCTTGTTATAGACTTTTTCTCATTCTTCTTGTGTAGTCAGTAGTTTTTTTAATGTCTGGGTATCTTTGATTTAGAATGGCGAGGGGCCCGGGGGAGAGAATGAGTTGTGTGGAGAAATCGGGAGAGTTCAGGGGGATGGAATGTTTCAGGTGGAGAAAATGAAAAATATTCGGAATATTATTAATTGTTGAAGTATTAAAAAATGCTCTGAGGAATATTATTCATTAGTAATATTTTTCAAGAGTAATGATAATTATTATAAAAATATTGTTCGTTATGAAAATCATGAAAATTGACTGGAAATTATTATTATTTATTGAAGGAATAAAAAATTATTTAAAATTATAATACATTTCTAAAGTAGAGGATAGTATTATTGGAATGTTATCAACTTTGGTGCTTTATAGAGTTACGACCAAAGTGCTTGTTATAGACTTTTTCTCATTCTTCTTGTGTAGTCAGTAGTTTTTTTAATGTCTGGGTATCTTTGATTTAGAATGGCGAGGGGCCCGGGGGAGAGAATGAGTTGTGTGGAGAAATCGGGAGAGTTCAGGGGGATGGAATGTTTCAGGTGGAGAAAATGAAAAATATTCGGAATATTATTAATTGTTGAAGTATTAAAAAATGCTCTGAGGAATATTATTCATTAGTAATATTTTTCAAGAGTAATGATAATTATTATAAAAATATTGTTCGTTATGAAAATCATGAAAATTGACTGGAAATTATTATTATTTATTGAAGGAATAAAAAATTATTTAAAATTATAATACATTTCTAAAGTAGAGGATAGTATTATTGGAATGTTATCAACTTTGGTGCTTTATAGAGTTACGACTAAAGTGCTTGTTATAGACTTTTTCTCATTCTTCTTGTGTAGTCAGTAGTTTTTTTCTAATGTCTGGGTATCTTTGATTTAGAATGGCGAGGGTCCTGGGGGAGAGAATGAGTTGTGTGGAGAAATCGGGAGAGTTCAGGGGGATGGAATGTTTCAGGTGGAGAAAATGAAAAATATTCGGAATGTTATTAATTGTTGAAGTATTAAAAAATGCTCTGAGGAATATTATTTATTAGTAATATTTTTCAAGAGTAATGATAATTATTATAAAAATATTGTTCATTATCAAAAGCATGAAAATTGACAGAAAAATATCAATTATTAAAGTAATGAAAAATGATTTATAACCCATTCCTTATAACCCATTCCTAAAGCAATGAATAATGCTGTTGGATTCGATAATTAATGGAATGTTATAAATTAACAATCATATAATTATCTAAATTTATCCCTGCAGTCGACTACCCTTTCAGATTCAGAATATTATTCATTAGGAAAGTAATGATAATTATTCTGAAAATATTGTTCTTTATAAAAGTAATAAAAAATAATTTAAACTTCCAAGTCTTTCCTAAAGTAGTAAATAATATTATTAAATTCAATATTCAATCTAATGTTATAAATTAAAAATTATATAATTACCTAAATTTGCTTATTCTTACAATCTTGTACCTTTCCAGATCCTGAATATTATTCATAAGTTCCCAGAATGCCCCCCAATTATTGAAAAAATATTCTGTACAATAAATATTATAACAATAATTATTCCAAAAATATTGTTTAGTATAAAAATTACCAAAATTGACCGAAAAATATTATCGATTGTTAAAGTAATAAAAAATGATTTAAATTTATGATATGTTCTCAAAGTAGTGAATAATATTGTTGAATTTAATATTCAATGTGATGTCATCCAATACTAGCAATATAATTTTACAGTATTGTTTACTGTACTGTAAAATATATTACAGTATAAAGTTTACAGTACAGTTCGCCTCATTTCAAATACAAATAATCGGATTGTCCATATCAACTTACCGCTGAATCCCCAGGTAACGTGTCTGACCATTGCCTTAAAAATCTACTCGGCCCAATCCTCTCAGAGTCAAAATTACCCCGAGGCCTCGGAAATAATTCCGATCGATGCGGCGCAAGTGTTGCACTCGGAATACAAATGAAGTTATTTATCCAACAATTGACCCCGACATTTAAAAACCGATACGTCGTTCGATTATCGGTACATTTGACATTTGTTTGGCACACGTTGGAGCATCAGCCTCGATAATTCGGGAATAGCACACCCCCGGGGCCCATCAGATTGCCGTGTATATCAGTCTGGGATATGAAATAAAATGCAACCCGGGGATAATGTAACTGATCGGCTGCAATACGTCAGAGAGAATTGGGGGAGAGGATTCTAGCGTTTGGCAATGACGCGGTGAAATTACGTTATAACCGAGGCCGCGTGGCGCAGGAAAAACTCAGTGTTTTTGACAGGCCCTGTCGCTCTTCCGTCCGAGTGAACGCTCGAGCCCCGGGGGCTAATAACTCTCGAAGTCATGATGGCACGTCTGTGGAATCATTTTCAAATCATTTGTGAAGGGAATTCAATTATTCCGAATTCATCCCCATCCCCATACTCGACAGCATGTGATTTCCATTGTCGAAAAGTGTTTTCAATTTTGTTGCCATTTTGCTCATTGTGACATGGAAAACATCTTTAGAGTTTTTTTTCTAGAATCACTAGTTTTTTTAGTGACATTTTAGTAGTAATTTTCAGGGAAGTGACACTTATTTCGTTCTTGGGAAATAATGACATTTTAATTTTCAGGAAAAATTCAATAGAGTTCAAAATTTTTAGAATGCCTAAAACATTAATATACAGCCTCAAATTACGCAGAATTTACTTGAATTTCTCGGAATTCTGTTGATTTTCATGGTATATCTGAAGTGAAATTCGCTGCTTCCATAAGGTTTTCTCAGAAAAATCGTGAATTTTCTATGGTGAATTTCATTGAAATTTCAGAGGAATTGTCACCTGAAAAAATTTGGAGGAAGTGGATTTTTATTGCTATTTTCATCAATATCGCATAAAAAATGGACTAAAAACGCCTGGTGCATTCTCTAAGGAATTCTATAGAAAATTCTATTGCCTACTGCGTCAATATTTATTGAAAATTTATGCCGACATAGATTAATGGAAAAAAAAATCAATAGATGTTGATTTTTGCATAAGACTTCGTGTGCATGAATTACCCCTTTTTTCCTTCAGTTTTGTAATCAGAAACAAAAGCGACTTGAAAAATTAATGCCCAAGGAATTTGAGGATGTCCAAGTATCCTCCACAGCTTGGTACAGACCACACTATAGATTTAACTATTTTTAATCATTAAATGTGTCATTCAAATTACATTTTGCACAGAATTATTATTTTCTTAGACATGAATCGATTTCTGGTAAAATCCTGAATATGAATAAATTCCTTACGATTCCGCACAAATGATTTTACAGTGGAAAATTAATTGTTTATGAATTATGTATAGAACCGACTCTAATGGTTAGATGGGTGAGGTGTTGCTCCGGCGGATATCCAAGCTAAGCAGCGTTGAGCTGGGTTAGTACTTGGATGGGTGACCGCTTAGGAACACAAAAATTGCGGGCAGTAGGTATGGTGTAGTGGCCTAGTGTCTCCACCTAGTCAGTGTCACAGATGGATATATTAGGGCACTGCACAATCGGCCGGCTGTGCGACTGGGGTTTTACATGGTTTCCCGTGCAGTCCTAGCTCGAATGAGGCACAGCTAAGAGTAAGACGGCCATGACACCGCAGATAACAATGAGAGGAAAAGAAAGGAGGGGAGGCTGGCTAGAGGAGGGGTTTCAAATCGAGAATTACTTCGATAAAACCAATGAAATAGAAAAAATGAAAAAATAAAAAATTATGTATAGAAAATACTCGTGATTCCCGAAAATTGTAATTTTAAAATTATCTTTTAATTATAAATAGCCAAAGTTCTTGGATATCCTTAATTGGAAAACTCTGAAGAGAATAATTCACCTACAAAACTCCAAATCTGTCTAAAAAAATAATCAGAAATTTAATAAAATTTCTTAGAAAAAACACTTCATTTTCCCATTATTATATCCTTGTTCGACTTATTATTCATTGTGACAGCATCTGTGAATAATTCGCACACAAAATCATCAAAATTAAACAGTTTTAAAGGAAAAACCAATTTTTCAATACGAAATATTCAACGAAACTTCATTGATAATTTCAAGTACACAGCAAAACAATTGAACGCTCGAGTAAAGCCTCCATACCCTCGACTTAACGGCAAGTGAAGCGATGCCGTTTATGTATAGGGTGTACCGAAGGAAATAACCGTCATCTGTATTCGCGATAACATCGTAATTGAATGCGGTTGACGGGGATTTGCTGTACCCAGTACAGCCTCAATGCGAGAGAGATGAAGGGAATTCACCCTCTCAACCACCATTTCATTCTCCCCCCCCCCTCCTCCCGCTCGCTCTCGCTATCGCCGCTCATTGATCCTGTGTATCGTTCTCGCGAAAGAGTATTAATCATAATATCGGGACGTTGAGAAATCTACTTGACATTGTCCTTTATGGATGGAAGATAGAGTGTGATGTTCGGAAGAATTTATTTTCCTGAAAAATACGAGACATTCGCGGGGAAATATTATTCTGAAAAATTCATGAGATTAATTCGATTTATTTTTCTGGTTTCGTTGGGGTAGCGGCAAAATTTTAGTTCATTTTTCGTACGGAATTATCTTGGAAGTAGTTTATTTGGATCGAATATATTTCAGTGTTGTAGAGAAATGTTATGGGATGACTCTCAACAATTTTCCTATAGTAAATAAATATGAAGTTCGTTAATAAAAAAATGTACTCCTTTTTCTTTCATTTATTTTTCTTAATGATGAGTGATTTTTGGGGGAAATATCAGTCTTTTCACAACTTTTGTGTTTAGGAGAATTGATTTTCTTGAAAAATATGAAACATTCGCGGGCAAATATTACTCTGAAAAATTCATGAGATTAATTCGATTGATTTTTCTGGTTTCGCTGAGGTAGTGACAAAATTGCAGTTCATTTTTCGTGAGGAATTATCTTGGAAGTAGTTTATTTGGATCGAACATATTCCCAGTGACTGCTACGTAACATATTGCACCTTCCTCGGGGGCTGGTTGTGCCTCCATGAATGAATTTGCTTGGGAGTTGTACGGAGATGTTATGGGATACCTTTCAGCAGTTTTTCTGTAATGCATGCACACGAAATTATTTACTAAAAAAATTTACTTCAATTTATTTAATTTATCTTTCTTAATGATGAGTAATTTTAGTGAAAAAAACAATGACTTTTAACAACTGATGAAATTAAAAGAACAATCTTTGCGATAAGATTATTTGAGAAAAGTAATCAATGAATTGATGATAATTTATGTGATTAATGTATTCATCATTGAATAAATGCAGAATTACTTGGCTAATTCAGCAAGCGGAGGTAATTTCCGCCTCGGAGGACTCTCTTCAAAAGGTCCAGCAACTTTCAGATCAATAACATACCTTAACAATCATTAAAAATGTCTCGAATAAAATCAAAACGAGATAATATAAAAATCAATGCTCTAAACCCTTACGAATACAGCGAATAAGTATATTCATTCCTCAAATTCTTCATCTTGTGACACTTCTTAGCGCTCAAACGACAGAGGGCGTAAATCCAATGAATGACCTTCGATTTTGAGGCGGGACAGGGCATTATGGCAGCGCAGGGTCGAATGTGATACAGGAGAAACCAAAATTCCTAAAAAAAAATTTAAAAAAAAATTTCAGTAGCGAAGTGGTAAAACGGTACAAGTCAATTTTGACTATTGACCCGTTTTCAATGAATATCTCGGAATCTAAGGGAGAAAGCAAAATTTTTGTTATAACCTTTTTTGTAGAGCCGATTGGGAGCTACAACAAATGTAATTACGAAAATTTTCCTATCTCCATTAGATTCCGAAATATTCCTCAAAAACTCAACTAGGAGATAAGTCGACTTGAACCGTTTTACCACTTCGCTACTGATTTTCTCTTTCTGAATTCCAGATGAAGCACTCATTATTCAACAAATAAAAATAATCAATATTTTTAAAATAAAAATATACATTTTCCAACTGCTTATCCATGTCTGCGTTCTCCTCGCAATCTCCTTCGTTGGGATGAAAAGTGCATGAAATCTACTCAAAGAAAAATTTCTAAATGAAGGAAAATATGAGGATGTCCTAGTGCAATGCAATACTTCATCCATGTCCTCCGGAATAGCGGAGTAGAATTCCGACCACGTGGTGTCTCGCTCCCACTCGGCCTGTCCCGGGCTGATTATCGATAACTCTTCGATCTCTTGGAGCGGTCCCTCCGGGGGAACAGTCTCGAAGACCCCGCTCATCTGGTCATTGATCATATTGATCGCCAAGGCTGCCAAGTACCTGTTACGCTTGTCCATCAGCACCTCCACGTGGTACTCGACGCCGAATAATTTCTTCGTCCAGTTCGAGGCTAGAGCGCGCTCTCCCGCGTCCGTCAGGGCTGGCTCAAGGTTACCGATTATTCCTCTGATATCAAAACAATTTGAGCGATTGATTTTTCTTTGATCAGGTGGTTAATTTTATGCGAGGCGATGCTCCTGTTCAGTAGTTTCGAAAATACAATAGGGAAACGGTTGGGGCAGGATGGGTTTTTAAAAATTTAGAGTGAAATTCGGTTTATTGTAATAATTCAGTTAATTTCGTTACATTAAAGTCATTAAGGATATTCAAATCCTTTGGTTATTTGTTCTCCAGTGAAATGGGTTTCTACTTTTGTAGTTCAACATCAGAGCTTTCATTTGAGTCTGAATTTCAATCTCGATATTGAACATTTTAAAGTAGGAGTACATTAGAAACTAGGAGTATTTTATATTCAGAATTTCAACAGAAAACGATTTCATGCCTAAAAAGATAAAGTTCCCGGAGGTGTAAACAATTTCGATTATTTATTTATAAACAACGAGTATTTAAAAAAATTATAATTATGTGCAAAATGTAACTTTAATAACGCTGAATACTCATGATTTTTTTTTCAAATTTTACTCAGCCAATTTAATTAACAAATTAAAAAAACTGATCAAAATAATTTGAACAATTGACTTTTCTCTATCCAGATATCTTGCAAAAAACGAATTCATTTTCTAAAAAATAGAAAATAAAAATCTGCAGACGTTTTAATTTCTTCATTTGATGAAATCCATCCCCTTCCGAATATTTCCAAAACTTTTCAACCTTGTAGCACATTCGCAGTTCATGGAGCCTATTCACATAAACAATTTATGTTTAAAAAATACTTACCCATAATACTGGAATTCTATCTTAAGTGCACCAGCCTTGGACTTGTCCCTAGAATCACGTCTAACCTCCCTGAGCCCCGCGGCCGATAGCCGATCCGAACGTCCATCCTCCTCCATGCTCCCATAACCCAAATTCCCCCGAAAAAAAAACAAACAAAAACTCACGATGAAAAACCGACGATCACAAAGGGATGAAAAGTGTCCGTGGCCGGGAGGAAGCCACGACGCGACATTTCGTCGCGACCCGAAAAATTTCAGCGCTTCAACTTTCGCCTTAACATTTTCAAGCGATAAAATTTGAAATACGGGTTGTGAACTGCAGGACCCGAGAGAAAGAGGTAATACGGCATCTAGTGCGAAGGATGTCCGGGTCATAACGCGGGCCACGGACGAGTGCCTCCAGGAATTACTTTTCAGGGAGGACCCGGAAAAAATCGAAACAGAAAAGTCGGGATGAAAAATCTCCTCGAAAGATCTTTTCGATGTTTTTTTTTTCACTTGAAAAAAATGCCCTCAAATAATATAACTAATATTATAGGAACAAATAATGTGATTATACATTATTATTAATGTTTTGTATCCAATGATTTTTTTTATTCACGTCATTTCTTGGTAGAATAGCCAAAACCACAGGATGAATGACCCTCGATGTCTAACACAGACAATACTTTACGATAAAATAAATTCTACAGGTTTTTCAATATTAATCTTTCCGAATTGAAATAATTTTCCACATTAATTTCCAAATGGTACACATGAAATGCACCAAAAGGAGTTGTGAGGAGTTGTGACACATTAATAAAAATGCACTCTGTTGTTTTTCTTTGTACGTAATTCATAAATAAGAATTTGCCCTCAAAGCATCAGTTTGTAAAAACCACCACTATTTGGTCCAATTCCCATTATTTATTTATAAAAACGAAATGTTGAAAAAAGTCATTAATTGCAAAGTATAATTGCAATGACTCTGAATTATCCATGAACTTTCCCAAATTTTTCTCAACCAATTTAATTTGTATTCTGACATTCTCAAATTTGAAAATTTGTTTGTGGAAATAGTGATGGGTTCAACGGTAACAGGTTCGATCACACGGAAATCGCTATTCATTCATTACACGAAGAGAACATTTGGATAAAAATCCCTAGAAAATCGTGTTAAATTTTGCTGTATGAAAGGTAATCATGAAGTAAAATGTAATTCAATGAAAAAAAAATGGAGACGAATAGAAGTGAAATTTTACCGAACGCGTTCGGTAAAGAACCATTCTCCGTTACAGAAAAATTATACATAACATTGAGCAATCATTCACGTTCACGGAGTTAATTTTTGATGGAATGCAGGGTAAATTTTGCAAAAATTTTACGAAACTCGAGTTCGCTTCACAATTACTTGCCTTGTTCGGTAAATTTTCTCCAACTGTTTTTTCCGCATATTTGCGATTAATTTCAAAAACTTTCCATAAATAAACACCCACTTCAAAATGATAAATTTCCGTATTCTCGATCCCCGATTTCCCCACATGCAGAGATAAAAAAAGACAAAACCCGCGTAAAACGAAAAATCATGCGAAAAATTATACGATTTGTTTCTTATCAATGGATCTCAATCGATTCGACGTTAGCGTACGTTTTTTCGGTTCTTTTTGAGGGGAATAAGAATCCAGAAGGAAAACGAGAGAAGATTAATTGGAATTTTCCTGGATCGTTTCCATCCCTTGGCTCTCATTTCATTTATTTTTCCCTCCGTTTTTCCACTTTTTTTCACGAACATGATGCATAGCGAAAGAGCTTCACAGAACGCCGAGGCGAAGGGTAGTGAAGACGAAAATGGGGATGGTAGATGACAACAGCCTTATCGCGGGATCTTTAATTCCGAAAAGGCAGGGGAGAAGGGCTCACGGGGTGGCATGGACCACATCGTCATTTGTCCCGCTGCATTGGTTCGCCTGTTACTCGTTTTCCCATGTCAGGGGGGGAGGGTGGGAGGGAGGGGGGGG